CTCACTGCCCTCTCAGTAGCAGTGATATAACTATATATCTGTGCACACGACAGTATGACCTAAGACAAGCTGTGCCTTGGTTTACTAATTAAGACATGACTTACTAGCTCAGAAGCCAATGAATTTTCGTTGCCAGAATCATTTTCTTGTGTACACAAAGCTTTATTACAGCTCACTAAATACCCTATAATTTGGAATGCCTGCGGTCCTTTGCTCCTGTCAACATCCATGAACTCTGTGTGTGAGGAGCAGCACCAAACTGAACCCCACACTACACTGACTGCTCTTCCCTGACCATCAACCAGCTCAGCTCCAATCTCTGCACAGCCTGCAACAATTCTCCATTGAGAACTTCATAATAAAATACACACACTGAAAAAAGATCCCATTAGCAGAGAACTGAAGGGACAGGACACTTTGACTGACACACAATACACACCACAAGGCTGAATTTCTTCAACAAGCAGCACTTACCAGAAGTTATTACAGTATTCTGACTCTGCATTAGAAGTGCCAGAGTTCAGAGAAGTTGACAATTTAACCGCTGATACTTCCAAACCCGCAATTTACTATTACCAAATAATAACAGTGTAACTCCAAAGTCACGAGAAGGACTCTTACACCGGGTCCTGAGCTCGGGTCAGAGGTGCTGTCTCAGCAGGGGCTCAGACAAGGCTTTAATGTGAGGACTCGCCATTCTGGCACTAAGGAAAATAAAATAACATCCACATCTGCTCACATATTTCAGGCAGACAACAGTAGCTACTGCGATCTCCTGATAAGCTCTCTGAGGTAAAGGCAAATGGCTCAACTCTTGACCCAACCACCATGAAAAATAAATGAGCGTCTATTGTCTCCTGCACAAACCAAAACAAACGCCCACTCACGGCTCAGAAAAGGCATTATTTTTTTAAAAGCCTTGCAACGAGATAAACAAGACACAATAAAAATCAGTGCACCGGCTCCAGCTCGGGGGTGGCACTACAGCCAGAGGACGGGAACCAGCTCTGCCTTGCAGTGTTTGTGGAGGCACGGTCACAACTCGATAAATTCCTCCTCAGCAACAAATGCAACGTGTTCTAGTCCCACACGTATTCACATCTCATGCCCCAGTTCTCTCACAGTGCGGAAGAGCTAAAACCAATTTACAACTTTGGCATAAAACCTACGGAATTCAACGGGAAGACTTGACAGACATAAATGTTTAGAGCTCCGCGCTTAAAAAAATAAATATCTGAAATAAACAGTGGGTTACTTCATCCTGGCAAAGGGAGAACTCAGTGGATCCTGCAGCCTTTGTTTATGCTCCCAGGAGTCAGGAATGCTGCTCAGGCCCCCAGAGGTGCAGTGCTGGGTGCCACCAGGAAAGGCAGATCACACACAAAGTGCTCTACACTGCTATTGAGGGCAGGGAAATTATCTCCATTTCGACTTTAAGAAACACAACTGAGCAAACCTGCATTGAAACATGACATCATCCCCCTCTTTGGGCAGCAAATGCTGTTTCCACCAGAGGATATCAGTTGCCTCAGTAACATCGTTATGAGGTTTTCCTCTCTGAAGTCATACTGCAGTTTCCTCTCTTCGCTCAGTGCAGCATTTTCTGATTTTGTTTTCCTTCTAAGCAGCACATTCATAACAGAAAGTGTCCAAAGTTTAGGCTGAGTCTCTGTTTAGCCTACAAGCACCTCTGCTCAAGGAGAGGTGATGTTGCATTTGTTCTGTGAGAGCCCTCACACCTCCAGCAGTATGAGAGGTGTTAGTCAGCAGTTTTACTTCTCTTCATTAACAGCCTCAGCAGGAAGCAAGAGGCACATGTGAAACCCTTTGGATACTTTCCTTTCACACAAAAGTCAAAGCTCGGAGTAAAACAAAGGACTTCTCAAAATAGAAAGTTGAGAATAAATTGCTTAGACTGAAAAAACAGCAGTAGGACTGCAAATGCTGAAAGCAGATCAATTTACATAGAGGCACTTACACCCCAAATATCTGTCAGAGTTAAATTGTCATGTAGTCTTCTAGGTTGCATTAAAATTCTCTTCAAAATGTTTTTACTGCTGGCATTTTCCCTTCTAATTCCGGCAATCTTTCTATCCCAAACATCTCTGTTCTCATTACCCAGAACATTTAGGTGTGATTACAGCAAAAGATCGTTATCGTGTTTTATTTGGTTAAGGCCTTAAAAATTAAATACAGGTGTTTTCAATTAACAGCCATCAAATTTAGCTCTCCCATCCCATTTTCTGTCACTCCAAAGGCTGAGGACACCTATCTGAGAAAAATATGTAGGAGAACCATGAAGCAGGACTTTTTAAAAGCCTTATAAATCTTATAAATGAAAGCTGACATGTCATACAAGAAAAAAACACCAAGATCAAACCTTTGAGCATGGAAAATGAGCAGAATTATGAAAGGAAACGTTATCACCTCATCCCTCATTCCTTCAGCTGTGCCTGTGGACCGAAGGCTGAGGTAACTTCCCGCACACCTCGTGACAGCTTAAAACATGCATGAGGCCCAAATGATTAATGCATGAGCACATCCTGCAGAGCTGCACATCCTGTTCCTGACGCGCTGCAACGCTGGGCTGCAACTGCTGGGACTGAGCTGAGGAGCTGTCAGGAACCTGCCAACACCCTAATGCACCCCACACACCTCTGGGGACAGTGCAGAGCCTGGCAGAGGGAACACGGCACCACAGAACCTGGCACTGCCCCACGGGCACCAAGAGAGGCCAGCTCAGGCCAAGGGAGCTGGGACAGGCTTGTCCTGAGTCTGGAGATTCTGGTTGTGGAGTTAAAATACATTGTTTTATTCCAAAGGCGTTTGTGTTTGCTGTTTGTCACTCAGGGTCACCAACACTTCACTCCTGCTGCTCACACAACACTCCTCGGGTACCACAGTAAGGCTGGAAGTGCCCTGCAAACTCATCACACTGATGGGCAGTCAAACATCTCCTGGCTAGATACACTCCAAATTTTAAAACAATCCAGGGTCCAAGGGGACATTGAATACTTACTATATGATTTGGGATAAGAACCCAAAATACGGTCTTTCTGTATTTCTCCTCAGAGTTGAGGGCCACGTTTCCAGGCCGTTTCCTGACTCAGGTTGTCACAGTTTTCCCCACTCCTCACCACAGATGCAGAAGATCAGGATTTCCATCCCCTACACTCAGCTGGCAGGTTCAGGCAGACACAGAACACACAAACTAAGATTCACACATTACTTGCACAGCAACAGCAAGTGCTGATGGCCAGCACTTGGACCACTTCCATCTTACCTGCTCCCCACAAAATCAAAGCCCCAAACACCCCGAAGGATTCAGCCTTGCTGTGAAGACCAAGTATTTCCCTGAAGTTGAAAGTCTCTTCCTCACAGCAGAGTTGTCAAGAGCTTTACCACTGACCAAGGTCAGATGAATGCCAAAGTTAAACCTCAAGTTTGCATCAGATTATATAAATATGGAAAAAGAGAAGTTTGACAAGGTACTGGTGAGAGGAGTTGTCAAACCGAAGAGGACTTGCTGTAAAAGTGATTATATAAAGTGTAGGACAGGCAGAGCTGTGATTAAAGTCAATAAACAGCCTCCCAGAGCAGCAGCTGCCCTCTCCAGCACCTTGTGGCCCGAGTCCAAACTGTAGACAGATGAAATATGCTGCACAAAGGATGCCAGTCAGCTCAGGATTAAAGTAACAACTGCTCTCACTGCACTGTTGGCAACACGGGCCTTGACAAGGTACTTGGACAACAGAAAAATCCAAAAACCCAGCGTGCTGGGAGCAGAAAAACCATAGCTTCACCCGGGTGTGAGTTTGAAAAATACGCACTTAAAACCTTAGATCACCGTTCTACTGGCTCGGTGATGGACTGAGGAACATCGTGGTGCTTTTAGGAGGTCTGGTTCCACACTTCGTGCTTACAGTAAGGTCAGTTTTAAATGGAAAATGGAGAAGGAATACAGTATTTAATGGAAGTTGTGTAAGGCTGACTTCAGTAATTGCTGTGTTACACATCTTCACATACTTGCCACACGTTCACCTTATTAATCATTTTAAAATCAAAGAGAGAGGTCTCCACACTTACCACTTCAGGTCTGGGAGAAGAGTTTTCCACTAGGACACTAATTTCCTTCATGGAAACAGCTCAAAGCATATGGAGGAAACAAAAGGAGCAGGCTACAGAAATTCTGCTAAGTCTACAAAGAGTTGTTTCTACAGCAGTGAACTTTGTAACCATTTGACTTTCAGAATAACAAAATACTTACATTGTGACTATCCTAAGAATAGAACTTAATCCCAATCAGTGAGGATACACAGCTCTTAAAAGCTTGGCATGTTTGTTGGAAAACTTTCTAAAAGGCAGCAATAACAACAGCAAAGAAACCCCTTCAGATCTTCCTTAATTTTTAATTTGTTATAGTTAAAAATATGCAAACTCCAGGCTTTGAAAAGCTTTAGGAGCTATCGGATTCATTTCTATTGACCCTACTCTTCACTTGGGGTCTTCTCCAAAGCTTATGGAAAAGGATATAAGAAGCCTTCAATCAATAGACAGGAAATTCTAAAATCTTTAAAGCTAGAGGAAGGTGGAAAGGAAACTGGAGACATTCAGCTCCACTCTGCTGACTCAGACACAGGCAGGACACAGGACATAATGCAATTCCTCCCTGATGCAAACAGAAACCCATCTGGGGACAAACAGTTTACATCTACCAACCACAGAGCAGGGCTGGGGCCAGGAGCTGCTCCTTGGTGTCTTGCACCAGCACTCAGAATGCACTTTTCCCCTGCATTTTCAATCTACCCAACACGTGCTGGATGGACAAACAGGACTGCTCCAATTAAATCACTTGCTAAGGGAACAATGCTGACACCAGGCTCGTTACCTTTCGTTTCACATCAATGAAATGAAACATTTCATCGCTCCTCCTCCTGAAATAGCACTGGAACTACCTTAGGAATTTTCAAAGAGAGCTTTCACCGGAAGCATTGACCCACCATTCATTCCGTTGTAAATACTCCTGTGGTGAGGGGACAGGTCCTCTGTCACTTGTCTCCTGAGGGTCCCTTCCCTGCTGCCTCCGCTGAGGTGTTTGAGGTGCTCGGGGCTGCCTCCATAGTGCTGTTTGAGGTGCTCTGGGCTGGTGCCCCTCACCTTGTGCAGGTGTTCTGTACTCCCACTCGGCGTGTGCTTCTGGAGGTGGTCTGGGCTGCCACCGCTGTGCTTTTGGTGCTCAGGGCTGCCACCAGGCCTCTGCTTTTGAAAGTGTTCAGGGCTACTGCTCAGCACGTGCTTTGGGATAGTTTCTGGGCTGCTGCTGCTGTGCTTTTGCTGGTCAGGGACTTTGACCACGGCTTTGTGGTGCTCGGGGCTCGGCCCTTTCAGGTGGTGGTCAGGGCTGCCGGAGCCGCGCGGCTTCTGCAGGTGCTCGGGGCTGATGCTCCGGTGCTTCTGGTGCTCGGGGCTGCCTTCCCCCCGAGCCTTCTGCAGGTGCTCGGGGCTGGGGCTGGGGTGGTGTTTGTGGTGGTCGGGGCTGTCTGTGCTGCCCGTGCTGGAGGTGCTGCTGCCGTCCCCCACGTCTCGGATGTAGGCGCTGGGCGCCGTCAGCTGGCACAGGCTGAGCTGGCTGTCGATGGAGCTCCGGCTCCCGGCCCCGCCGCCCTTCTCCTCGTCCAGCAGCACACACAGCTCCTTCAGCTCCAGGTTCTCCTTGACCACTTCTTCCTGTCTCACCTCCAGTTCCTTCAGCTTCTGCAGGTACAGGGCCACCTCTTTGTGCAGCACGCTGGCGCTGTACCTGCCCAGCCGCTGCCACTCCCGGGACACCTTCTTGCCCTTCTGTCGGTCGTCGTCCAGGAAGCAGCACAGGTCCCTCAGCTCCTGGTTATCCTCTTGCAGCTTCTGGTTGATATCCTTCAAGAGAAAGATTATCATGGCAGGGAAGTGTCTAAAGGAATTGGTGTTACACAATCACCCTTACACACGAGCCACAAAATCATATTTAAGCACTCAAGCGAGGCATAAATAATTGCTTGTGTAGATCTGGCACATTGTAACGGCACAGTGCTTCAAACAGAGCTGCTGTCCAGCCAAAGCTGACCTGGAGCTAGTCTGAGGTGTTCAAAGACTAACTTCTGACACAGCATAAAAGTTTCAGGTGCTTAATTAATTTTCATGCTAAATATCAGAGTAATTTAGCTCCCAACCTGGGCAAAGCTCGTAAGTGCTCTCCTGATGATCTCGCTCCCCAGAGAAATATTCACCTGAATAAAACTGCAAGGTACATCAGAACTTGTACTCTCACTTAAATAATTAATTATTACACATCTAGACTCCCTATTCCCCAAAGCATAGTCACATATAAAGATGAACATTTTAGAGATTTAAAAAAAAAAAAAGAGGGGTTGTTTGATGTTGTTCCAGATTTGCATTAAAAACCCTTGTCAGACATCACTTTATCGGGATTGCTTCAGCCACTCTGAAATTAAATAATCTGCTTTAATAGATTTTTCCTTCCTAATAAAATGCAGTACATGATTCCATGTCCTTCTCTGAGCGAGGAACAGTCTGAGGCAAGTGCTCTGAAGAAAAATGTTCAGGGTGTTACTGTAGCAGAATAATGCCAAAGAAAACATTTGCAGTGTTTTACCCGCCTAGTTTGGACTTGTGACCAGATTTCTCTTTCCCCCAGCTCCATATTCATTCCTTCTTATGTATGAGATCACAAATAGAGATTAGCCACAATTGTTAAAGGCTTGGCCTTATGGAAAGGCCATTTTAGCACTGTTTCCCCAAAAAAGGGAAGCTTTTGTAACCCCACTGGATCTGGATGCAGGAATGCCAGGGTTTGTCTGATCTTTGCCTCAGAATAACTCTGAACTTGACCGATTTCAACCCGTATTTGACAATGAAAAAAAAAGGCTACAGGGTGTCCTTAAAAATCTCTGCTGGGGAGAGATGTTTGAAGTGATCCCACGGTGGAATAAAAAAGTTGTGGAAGTGCAGAATTCCTCAGCCAGAAGGCAGCCTTTCAGCTGGGCATTCTGACTCAGGGACCTGGTATTTCACACACAACAAAGCAGGGAGATGTCCAGACACCAGCGCAGGGCTCACAACCTCCTTCTCCCAGATTCTGTTGAAAGGTTCCAGATGGGGCATCTGAACAAAAGGAGGAAGTTAAACATGACTTAAGGAGTTCAGAATTGAGAGGGGAATGTGTCACTGCTTCCTACACATCTTGGTGTGTTTGGTCAGTTATCTGGAGGATGCAGAAATCCATATGATGTCACAGCACTGGGAGGAAGACACTATTGTAACTGAACTTACATTTGAAACCTAAGCTTTATTCTTGCTAAATACTATCATGGATGGGTCTTTTTTACCCCCAGACACCATGGATGGTCAAAAAGAGGGAAGAGACACCCCCCCATACTCTGTAGAACACAAAAACTTGGGAGACAGGAAGAGTCTTCCCCCACATGCTGTTTATTTTATGCCATGCTATGATCAAAGACACTTTCTCAGTAATTCCATCATTTAAAGCCATTCTACAAGTGAAGAACTCTCTTCTAATGCGCTTCCATGTAATAATTCAAAAGCCCACACTGCATCTGTCTCTCCTCTCCTTCCCTCCAATCTCACTGAAAGAATTCCCTAAAAACAATGTCCTTTCTCAAAAGCAACAAGACAGAAAAATGTTCTGTGGTCCTGCCAGCTTTAAGGTAACTTTCCAGGGCTATAATGCACAAGGAAGGTGATCCTCTGTAAGCAGTCACACTATCTTCCCAATCCTCAGAAGTGGGAAGGAAACATTAGGGACTAAGCTTCTCACCCAACCAAGGAGTGAAATTTAGAAGGGATAAGCCATTACAGACCTGGTCTGACTTGTGATGTGCAGCCTGCACAAGGATACAATTGAAAATGGTTAGTCAGAGATGCATTAGCAGATGCCTTTTCCAGACAACAAACCAGGGATTGGTTCTGATCACCCCAAAACGGAGCCCAGGGGTTTGCCATCACCTGCCATACCCTGCACTGCATCCTGGAAATGACCCACTCCCTCCAGCAGCCTGCCTGCCTGACAGGCTAAGGCAGCTGAAACTAGGGACAAAAAACCTTTTGAACATCTACAGCTCTGTACACTCCTATTTCTCGGGCACTTCAGGCAGGATCACTGAACTCCAAACCAGCGGAGTCTAACACAGAGGTGACCAGACTTTAGTGCTTGTACCAAACCAAAGAACACTGGGGCAGAGCACACCCCAGCTGTGCTGCACATCCTGCCGAATAGCCGCTCATCTCCTAGCCGGACACTCGATTTTTAAGCAGCATCAAAGGCTATTCACTCCAGCCCTCGTCTACTTTTCCTGCCGTTCTCGGGAGCGGCTCCTCCCGGAGCATCCACCTGACAAGACCGCTGCCGGCGGGACGGGCGGGGGCCGCGGCGACACGGCACAAACTTCACGGGTCCCACCCTGCCCACCCCGCTCTACCTTCAAGCCGCGGATCTCGCCGAGGTGGAGCTGGAGGCGGCGGTTCACCTCGCGGATGAGGTTGCTGTGGTCCAGCATCGCGCTCATCTTCTCGGCCTCGGCGCGGCGGAGGCTGCGGATCAGCTCCTCCTTGCTCCACTTGAGCAGCTCCTCGTCCGACACCTTGGACAAGTCCTCGGCCGGCGCCGACCCGCAACTTTCCGCCGCCACTTTGGCCATGGTGGCGGCGCGGGGGCAGCCGCGGAGCCTCCCCGCGCTGCCGGGGCCGCCCCTCCGCCGCCGCCGCCGGGGCAAAGGGCGAGCCCGGAGCCCGCGGGTGCCCCCGGCTCCAGCGCGGGGAGACCGCTTCTGGCCCCGCGCAGCGGATCCTGGAAAACAGGAGGAAGACGAGGAGGAAAGGGTGTGGAGGAAGCCGGGCCACGGTCTGGGGAGCAAACTTCCCCCGTCGAGACGGAAAAAAAAAAAAATAGAAAGAAACCCCGAGACAAAGGATCCCCAAGACACGCGCGGTTCTTTCAACAGGTCAGCGCCAGCCGCGAGCGGCCGGTGCCCGCGGCGGGGATGCGCGGGGCCGGCTCTCAGCGGCCGCGGGCTGCGGGCGGCGAGGCGCGGCTGCCGCGCCCCATGGCAGCGGGCGGCGCGGGAGCGGCAGGAGCGGGAGGGATCGGAGCGGCTCGGGCGCTGTGGGCGGCAGTGCCGGGCGCGGGGCCGCTCGCGGCTTTTCAGCGGGGCCGCGCCACGTGCGGGGGGGGCGGTGCGGGAGCGGGCGGATCGCGGGCTCCACCTGCCGCCCGCCGCCCGCCAGCGCCGCGGGACCGCCCCGACCCGCGGGGACACACCTGCGGGACACCGCGGCAC